ACCCTCGCCTGCCAACACTTGCTTGTTAAGACCTGTCATTGGATTACAGAGAATTAAGTAAAAAATTACTTGAAATAATGAACAAATTTAGCAAAGTTGCAGGATATAAAATAAACCCACACAAATCATTGACATTTCTATTTATTACTAACAAAGCCCAGCAGCAAGAGACAGAAAGAGAAATTCCATTTAAAATTACTGTAGACATTATAAAATATTTGGGACTCTACCTACCAAAACAAACCCAGGAACTATATGAACACAAGTACAAAACACTTTTCATACAAGTGAAGTCAGATCTAAATAATTGAAAAAATATCAGTTGCTCATGGATAAGCTGAGCTAATATAATAAAAATGACAATTCTACCTAAATTAATTTACTTATTCAGTGCCATTCCAATCAAACTTCCAAAAATTATTTTATAGAGCTAGAAAAAACAATAACAAAATTCATCTGGAAGAACAAAAAGTCCAGAATATCAAGGGAACTAATGATAAGAAATGCCAGGGAAGGTGGTCTAGCTGTACCAGATCTTAAATTGTATTATAAAGTAGCAATAATCAAAATTACTTGGTACTGGCTAAGAAATAGAGTGATGGATCAGTGGAATAGGAATGCAAGACACAACAGTCAATGACTATAGTAATCTACTATTTGATAAATCCAAAGACTTCAGCTTCTGGGATCAGAAATCACTAACAAAAACTGCTGGGAAAATTGTAAAAATGTATGGCAGAAACTGGGCATAGACCAACATCTTACAACCTATACCAAGATAAAGTCAAAATGGGTACAGGATTTAGATATAAAGACTGATACTACAAGCAAACTAGAAGAGCAAGGAATAGTTTACCTTTCAGATCTATAGAGAAGGGAAGAATTTATGACCAAACGAGATAGAGAACATTATGAAATACAAAATGGATAATTTTGATTACATTAAATTGAAAGGCTTTTGCACAAACAAGGCCAATGCATCCAAGGTTAGGAGGGACGTAGAAAACTGGGAAAGAATTTTTACAACCAGTGTCTCTGATAAAGGCCTCATTTCTAAAATATATAGAGAACTGAGTCAAATGTATAAGAATACAAGTCATTCCCCAATTGAGAAATGGTCTAAGGATATGAACAGGCAGTTTTCAGAGGAAGAAACTCAAGCTAACTATAGTCATATGAAAAAATGTTCTAAATCAGTATTGATTAGAGAAATGCGAATCAAAATGACTCAGAGGTACCACATCACACCTATCAGAATGACTAACATGACAAAACAGGACAATGATAAATGTTGGAGAAGATGGGGGAAAATTAGAACACTAATGCATTGTTGGTGTAGTTGTGAAATGATCCAACCATTTTGGAGAGCAATTTGGAACTATGCCCAAAGGGCTATCAAAATGTGCATACCCTTTGACCCAGCAATAGCACTTCTAGGTCTGTATCCCAAGGAGATCATAAAAAAAGGGAAAAGGACCCACGTATACAAAAATATAGCAGCTCTTTCTGTGGTAGCAAAGAATTGGAAATTGAGGAGATGCCCATCAATTGGGGAATGGCTGAACAAGTTGTGGTATATGAATGTAATGGAATACTATTGTGCTATAAGAAACGATGAGCAGACAGACCTCAGAAAAACCTGGAAAGACTTATTTGGACTGATGCTGAATGAAGTAAGCAGAACCAGGAGAACATTGTACACAATAACAGCCACATTGTGGGTTGACTGACTTTGATAGACGTGGCTCTTCACAGCAATGCAAGAATCTAAGACAACTCCAAAAGACTCATGATGGAAAATGCTGTCTACACCCAGAGAAATAACTATGGAGTCTGAATGTAGATGGAAGCAGACTATTTGCCCTCCTTTTCTTTTGCTGTTTTGCTTTATTGCATCATTCTCATAGTTCCTTCCATTAGTTGTAATTGTTCTTTACCTCACGACTAATGGGAAAATATGCTTCATAGGAATGTATAAGTAGAGCCTACATCAGATTGCACATCATCTTGGTTGGGGGAGAGGAGTGGAAAGGGGAGAAAATTTAAAACTCAAAATCTTGTGGAAGTGAATGTCAAAAACTAAAAATAAATAAATAAATAAATTATCGAGGGGGAAAAAAAAAAGACCTGTTGGCAGACTTGATCACTGATTGGTTATAACTTGAATTTTGTGTGTTTATTTGGAAAATAATGTAATCACTACAACTTTAACTCTTGTTATGCAACAGATGAAACATGTACGAAAGGGTTTTTCAAAATTCTCTTGTCTTCTTTCCTTATGCTTCCACACCTCCTTATTTTTATTCAATGCCCCCCAATTACACCAGAAGCTACTCCCCCCTCAGGTTCCAATGCTCCCCAGGGAGCAGTGTTGCCCACTTTGAGAACCTATGAATCAATGCCCTTATTTTACTGATTAGTAACCTGACACAGCCAGAGAAGGAAAATGATTTGTAACTTTCATGCAACATGCAACTTTTTGGAATGCAACCTTCTCATCCCTAGAAGATCCCTTCATCTCTGTGGCCTTCTTATGCTGGGAAGTCTCTCCTCCACTCAGTGTCTGACTCTGTATTTCTTTCTTCACCATGTCCTGGTGAGGTTCCCTCCTCCCCCTTTCTTCAGCTTCATTTGCTTCTGTTTGTCTCCCCAGCACTTAGCAAATAGTAGGCAGTTTAAAAATGTTTGTTGACTTTTGGAAGGCTTGGGTACAACATTGAGCTCTCTGACTTTGTCATTCCCTTCAGTAAAGAGCAGTTGATTTCATTTCATCTATTCATTTGTCTTAGCAAAATGCTTGACTTAGAACTTGAGTTTCTCGACTATAAACCAGATATTATTTTATTGCTTGGTGTTGTTAGTTGTCTCTTTGTGGGAGTATATCTATCTAATTGGGGCAAGCTCTTTATGTCTCTGGATCTCAGTTTCCTCTTCTGTAAACTGGGAATAATACTGGGACTGTGTCACAGAGTAGTTGTGAAGATAGTACTCTGTAAACTTCAAAGTACTACCACAATGTTACTATAACATTTTGATTTACCATAACATTTTTATATTATATATTATATAATACAATGCATTATTGTATAATATATAATGTTTTATAACATTTTTTTAAAGCTTATAGAAATGTGAGCTATTGTTATGGATTAAGGAAATACTCTAGGGAAAAGTAATCTAAAGATGGTTTTCACTTCAAATATGTGCCTTCCACTTATTTGTCCTTGAGAGAGGAAGTAGAAAATAGACATTTTACAGGATCAGAGAGTCCTCGAATTTTAGAGAAGGACAACATCTCAAATGGGGTCTAGGCTGGCCTGTGTCTAAATAAGAATTCCTAAGTCGTACCAGACTTGGATTCAGGAGGACCTGGGTTTGACATTTGTTAGTGGAGGGATTCTGACCAAAGCATTTAAGACAGATTGAGTTAGAAGAGACCTTAGAGTCCCTTAGAACTCTAGTTCAAACTATTTTACAGATGAGCCAACTGAGGCCCAGAGGTTGAGTGACACGTGTCATGTGTGTGACCTTGGCCAAGTCACTCAATCCCCTTGCACCTGTTTCATGGACAAAATGAGCCCATCAAGAGGACCTATCGAAAATGAAAAATGGTGGAGAAGATGTGGGAAAATTGGAACACTAATGCATTGTTGGTGGAGTTGTGAAATGATCCAACCATTTTGGAGAGCAATTTGGAACTATGCCCAAAGGGCTATCAAAATGTGCATACCCTTTGACCCAGCAATAGCACTTCTAGGGCTGTATCCCAAGGAGATCATACAAATGGGAAAAGGACCCACTTGTACAGAAATATTTATAGCAGCTCTTTTTGTGGTGGCAAAGAATTGGAAATTGAGAGGACGCCCATCAATTGGGGAATGGCTGAGCAAGTTGTGGTATTTGAATGTAATGGAATATTATTGTGCTACAAGAAATGATGAACAAGTGGACTCCAGAAAAACCTGGAAAGACTTATATGGACTGATGCTGAGTGAAGTGAGCAGAACCAAGAGAACCTTGTACACAGTAACAGCCACATTGGGTGATGACTAATATTGATAGACTTAGCCCTTCTCAGCAATGCAAGGATCTAAGACATCTCCAAAGGCCTCGTGAGGGAAAATGCTATCTACACCCAAAGAAAGAACTATGGAGTTTGAATGCATATCGAAGCATACTACTTGCTATTTCTTTCTTTTGTTTTGTTTTCTCTTTCTTGTGGTTCCTCCTATTGGTCCTAATTCTTCCTTACAACATCACTAATGTGAAAATTAATAGGAATATATATGTATAGCCTATATCAGATTGCTCGATATCTTGGGGAGGGAGAAAAGAAAAATTTAAAACTCAAGAACTTATGGAAGTGATTGTTGATAAATTAAAATAAATAAAAAATTCATGATGATAAAAAAGAGGACCTACCTACCTACCTACATCTTGTGGTTATTGTGAAAATGAGAGAATATATGTAAAGCAATTTGCAAAGGGCTCTATGTTAGCTTTTATTGTTAAATTATTATTAATTCACCACATAAATGTTAAGTCTGCACATTACCTGGCACACAGTAAAATTTTAATCAATTAATTTAATGATTAGGCCATTACATTTTTGGTAACCATCCCTAATCAAAACAAAAAACGAAATCTCCCCCAAAGGGCCACAACAAGGTACAGCGTAAGACGCAACTACTTTCTGTGATTAAAAATTGTCAAAGTTCATCAATTGATTAGCCATCCCCGTGACAGGTTCTGCTTGAAGTCTGGGGAACTCACAACCTGCAAAGTCAGCCCCATCCACTTTGGGTCGGATATTTTTTGGTGGGACGGTGTATGTGTGTGTGGGCTCCCATACTATCTGGGAGAGGTAGAGGAGCAGAAGGGGAAGGACTAAAGTTCCAGTCCGGGGCTCGGTCGCTGCTAGACTGTGATTCCTCCCTGGGACTCAGTTTCCCCCGTGGATAAAGACAGGGTTAGACGGCCTCTAAGGTTGTTTCCAGCAGGAACCGGCTACCTATGGGAGTCCAGCCTGACCGCCGCCTTACTGGGGAACCAGGCGGACTCCCAATAGCCATGGCTCCAACCACCCGCCCCTGGCCGCCGTCCACCGGCGAACCCGCCAAGCTCCCCGCGCAGGCAGGAGGACTGGCGGGCAGGAAGGGGGAAAGTCTTCGGGGAGCGCGCACCCGCGCGGGAACCCACGCACCCTCCTCCTTCTCCCAGGCAGCGGGCAGAAACTGACGCCTCAGACTAAGGGGAAAGTTGGGCGGGGTTAAGGGGGAGAGGAGGTGCGCGCACAGCCAGATGAGATTCTGCTCCCCCGCCCCCTTCTCCTAGGCAGCGGGAAAAAACGGACGCCACATCGGAGAGTGGAGGGAGCGTGGAGAGAGTGCGCGCGCACCCCCGGAAGTGGGAGGTGGGACTTTGGCTGCCTAGGCCACAACTTCCGAGAGTCTCCTCTGGAGCCCGCGGCTGGGGAGCGGGGCCTGGAGGTGCAGACGAGGGTCGGAGCAGAGAGCGAGATGGTGGCCAACAGCGCGGAGCCCGTGGCCTCGCGAGCTGCCGCCGCTGCCGCGGAAGCCTGCTACCCCGAGGTGAGGAGGGGCAGGAGGCGGCTCCTGTGGAGGGGGCGGACCGGGCGGGTGGGCTGCGGCTCCTGAGGGCGCCCCTTCTGTCCCCAGCGATGAGCTGCCTCAGGGAGCGTGCGGAGGGGGAGGGGAGGGGAGGAGAGGGGAGGCACGTCCTCTTCGTAGAGCGGATGCTGGCGGCTCCTCGGAGCGCCCGGAGCCCGTGGCGTGCGCCCCTCGGAGCGTCAGGATCGTGGTGGTCCTCTCGGTGACGTCTCCCAGCTCTTTGAGGGTGGGGTCCAATCTCGTCTAAACTTTTGTCTCCTTGCAGAACTCACTTATTAATAAATAATGGGCACCTATGCGGTGGGCATTTATTAATCACCTGCTGTGTTCCCAGGACTGAGGTAGGCATTGTAAATTTGAAGACAAAATAGTGAACCCATCCCCTGCCCACGGGAAACCCATAGTTCTCTCCATTACACTCCATTAAGCAGTTCATCCCACTTTGAGACAACTTTAATTTTTACTAAGTTTTTTTTTCATAATCAGTACAATAATCCAAGACAATTCCAAAGGACCCCTGATGAAAAATTTTGTCTTCCTCCAAAGAGAGAACTGATGAACTGAGTGCATATTGAAACATACTTTTTCACTTTTTTTTTTGCCTATTTTTTTCGGCAGGGTGGAGGGGCCAGCATAACTAACATGGAAATATATTTTGCATGACTTTACGTGTATAATTACCTCTGAAACATTCATCCATTATCCCTGGTTCTGTCTGCTAGGGTCAGGCAGAATAAGTCTAATAATTTCCACATGACTGTCCTTCACGTAATAACGATCATTCAGAAGAAGGATAGTGCTAGATAATGAAAGAACTATCTTTCAAAGAAAAGAAAGATAAATATGGAATTATAGCATGCCAGTGTGGAAAGGAACCTTAGAGATCATCTACTCCACTCCCTTCATTTTACAGACAAGGCTGAATCCCAGAGTAGTAAAAGTGATTAAAACTCACTTCTCCTGTCTCTTAGTCCAGTGCCCACCAATTTGCCTCCTAAAATAAACTAGAATCACAGATTGGGGGCCATCTTCAGTCATCCTGATCTATACCTTGCCACTGGACCCAGATGGCTCCGGAGAAGAAAGTGAGGCTGGTGACCTTGCACAGCCCTCCCTCACTTAAATCCAATTCATTTGCAAGTCATGGCATCACCTCCCTGATGTCTTGGTCCCCTTTGAGAAAGTAGGACAAACAGCAACAAGAATCACAGACTATTAGAATTATAAAACTCATCTAGCTAATAAAAAAAAGTTAGACTTTTGATGTATTGGATTTGCCACTCATACCATTTTGATAAGCCCTTCAGTCAGCTATTAGAAAACATAACCATTTTAAAACATTTTTCTGGAACCCGTCTGGCTAGTTGTGAACTGGTAATCATTGCTAAAGGATAACTTTTTTTGCACATTCAACTGTACCTGCTCAGTCAGATAATTTACCTTACTTTGAAATATATTCTTTATTTTTGACACTTTTCTTGGTTCTCCTGGGTTTAAAGAAATGTGTTGGATTTGGAATTGGAATCAAAATATTATGGGACAGTCCAGAGAGTACTAGCTGTATTTGGATTCAGAGACCCTGGTTTCAAATCCCAGTCATGGGAGCCTGGTCAAATCACTTAACCTTGTTGGGCCTTACTTTCCTCCTCTGCAAAGAGAGTGAGACTAGATACCTTAGGTCCCTTCCACTTCTAAGTGTCTTATCCTGTGATCCTGTTACCTGACACTTAGTAGATGCTTAATAGCTTTGTCACTTCTGGTAGGCAAACTGCTTCCCTTTTTTGAACTCATTTCCTCACTTTAATAATGAAAGTAGTGCCTACCTTACAGGTTTGTTGGGAGAAGCAAATGAGATCATATATGTTAAGTACTTTAAAAGCTGCAAATGGGGCTATATAAATGTCTGCTGCTGTTTGTGTTTTAAAGAGAAGGGAGTTTGCCCTGGGTCTCTGAAATTGTCAATCACAAATTTCTTCCACTCAAAGATTGGTTAAGTGGTGTAGTGGAGAGAGTGCTGGATTTTAGAATCAGATCTTTGTTTGCATGTTAGACCTGCCATTTATCTACCTGAGTTATTTTGGTCGAGTTACTAAGCTCTTTAGTCCTAGGGGTTGTATTAAATGATCTTGAGGGTCTTTTAGCTCTAAATCTGTTATTGTATGACCTTGTCTTTGTCAGAAGGATTTCTGATGGTTTCTCTTAACTCATCAAGCATCTGTGACTTTGTAGAAGATTAAGTGAGAGGGATCAGTTGGAGAGGAGAGAGGTAGGAAGTACTCAGAATCTCTAGTTTGTTATCTTTTGGTTAGTTTGAAGTTAACTTTTAAAACCCTTTCTGCAGATAGGGCACATTCCTCTAAGGGTGTTGTTACTATCTCTAGCAACTTAACAGAGTTTGCATTTAGGAAAGAAAAGGTATCTTTAAGAATCCCTCCTGTTTGTCTTTATTATAGTACTCTTGGCTATGTAAAAACTCTCATGTCATTCACATGTTCTCAGAGTTAACAGTGACCTTTGAAAGCATCTAATACAAATGTACGTGGACAGGAATCCATTCTGCTGTATCTCAGACGACTTGGCATTCAACTTTTGCTTGAATACCTCCAGTGTCAGGAACCTATTACCTACCGAGGCAATTCATGCCACTTTGACACAGCTTTAATTTTTAGCAAGTTTTTTTTCATATGTACAGCTGAAATCAGCCTCTATGCAAAATTCACCCATTATCCCACGCAGCTAGTAAGTGTCAAGGGTCTGAGCTTAGATTTGAACTCAGGTCCTCCTGACTCCAGGGCCAGTGCTCTGTCCACTGTGCCACCTAGCCGCCCCTTAGGACATGGATTTTGGTTGGGCCTTAAAGAGTACCGGCAAGCCAGGAGATAGAGAAGAGAGCATTCCAGGCCTGGGGGCCAAGGATGGAAGAATGGCTCTTTCTTGGAACAGCCAGGAGATCAGCGTCACTAGATTAAACAGTAATTGGTGAGGGTTAAGGTAGAAGAAGACTGGAAAGGTAGGGATGAGTTTGAACACCAAACAGAGGGAACCATTGGAGTTCATTAGTAGAGAGAAGATGTAGTTGGACCCGCGCTTTATGAACACCATGCTGGAGTGGAGTAGAGAGAGACTTGAGGCAGGCAGACCCACCACAGGCATCAGGTGATGGGCCTTCACCAGAGAATGGGGCATGTCAGAGAGATGTTGCAAAGGTGGAATTGACAGGCTTTGACAACAGATTGGAAATGGGGGGGAGGTGAGAGAGTGAGAAGTCAAAGATGACTCCTCCTCCTCCCAAGCCTGGGGGAGGGTGGTATTGTCCTCTACAGTAAGAGAGAAGGGTGGCGGTGGGGAGAGAAGGTTTAGGGGGAAAGATACTGAGTTCACGATGTCTATTGAGTGTCTAGTTTGACATGTCTGAAAGTCCATTTCAGGTGCGAGATTGGAGATCAGCATAGAGTTTGGGACAGGATAGGTTGTTTTGAAAATCATTGGGGCAGCTTGGTGTCGAAGTGGATAGAGCTTCATCATTATAGTCAGGAGGACCTGAGTTCAAATTTGACCTCAGACACTTGACATTTACTAGCTGGGTGACCCTGGGCCAGTCACTTAACCCCAATTGCCTCAGCAAAAAAAAAAAAAAACATCAACACAGATAATTAAATCCATGGAAGCTGATGAGATCACCTAGTGAAGTAGTATATATAGATGGGGAAGAGAAGACGGCCCAGGACAGAACCCTAAGGGACACCTATGGTTAGAGGGGACCTCAAGGAGGATCCAGCAAAGGAGACTGAGAAGGAGGGGCCGGATAGGTAGGAGAACCAGGAGAGCATGGTGTCCCAAAACCCTGGAGAGAAGAGTAGGAGGAGAGGAAGGTAATCATCAATGTCAAAGGCTACAAAAGAGAACGGGGAGTGAGAAAAGGCCATTGGAGAGGGTGACCTTGGAGAGAGCAGTTTGTTTGGTGAAATGATGAAGTTGGAAGCTGAAGTAAGGGGTTATGAAGAGTGAGAGGAGAGAAAATGGAGGTACCTATTGTAGATGGTCTTTTTAAGTTTAGCCACAAAGGGCAGAAGAAGTTGACAAGTCTATGCTCTGAGCCTCAGGTTGCTCTTTAAAACTCATCACTGAAAGCAGATGCGCATTGATGAAGTCTTTTACAGAATATTTCACATCCCTTATCTCATTTGGTGATGATGTGACTAGGGGCCACCTGTTAAAGTGCTCTGCCACCTCTCCTTGTCATCTCATGACCTTCCCTTGACTCTGCAGCCATTTCTAAAATGGAAATAAATCTAGACCGTACCTGGCTCACAGGCTTGGTTGCAGATAAAGATTATTGTAAAGATAAACACCTACTGTATTTTTTAGTGTCCTCGTAGGCAGGGACTGTCTTTTGTTTGTCTTTATCTATGATTCCTAGAATCATATATATACCCTGCATGTATTAAAAGTTACTTGAGTGAATGAATAAATATATGGTTTCTAGGATGTTAGAGCAGGATGAAACCTTAGAGATCAGATTTAATTGTGAAAAGTTGGTCTGTTATGACAGATGATGCCTTTATCCTTCTGGGGGATAACAGTTCCATCAACTTGTTATCCAACCTTGAGCAGTTAACTCCTTTGTTTACTTTTCTGTAAATGGGGTTAATAGTGCCTGTGCTGCTACCTACATTGTTAGGAGGCCCAAATGAGGTAATATTAGTGTGTGAAAGCAGTAAATGCAAAAGATTATTAACTACATTTTGGGAATTTTTTAACTAAAGCAGTTTTACACTTTCTCTGGAAATTTCTTGTGAAGACAGAACTTTGTTGGATGGAGAAAGTAGCTAGTCCTTTGAATTAGGTTGAAGAAACCATAGTGATTGGAAAATAGTAGGCTAATGTAAGCTGTTATCCTCTCATTTCCCCAGTAGAAATGCATCTACCATAAACTCCCATTTCTGTAGTGATTTAGGGCTTACAAAGTACCCCTTTATCTTGTATATGTATTGCCATCCTCATTTTACTATGAAGAGACCTGAGCTCAAAGAGGCATCTTGCACTCTAAGTGTCAGAGATGGGCTTCAAACAGGCTTCTGGACTCTAAATTTGATGCTTTCCATTATATGACACACTGCCTTTCACCATTGGGAATCTCCTGGGTTGTTTTTTTTTCTTTCTTTTTTTTTCAGATAAATATCTAGAAGAAACATTTGACATGTGTGATTCCTGGTGTAGAAAAATGGTTGACTCACCCCTTTGAACTTTTTAAAAACACAAATCCACACACATTGACCTGCTACTAAGAAAAGAGCAGGTAAACTGAAGGAGAGCATTTAAAAGGAAAGTTGAGCCAACCCAAGTTCACTGCTTTAATTTAGAACTTCAGTTCCAGGCACATCTAAAATTAGGCTCAGCACAGCATCTGTGGGGGGTCGGTAATCGCCTAGCAGCAGGGTTAGAAAAGGAAAGAGGCCCGTTGGGATTTGTTGACATTTCCTTGAGCCTGGTCAGCATCTTCCTTGATTATCGGGCCGGGCCCTCTTCACTGGAGGTTGGAAGGGCGGTGCTCCTGGAGACAGGCTGATCCCAGTGCTATCCGAACAGGGTTACACTGATTCCCAGTGACTTTACTGGGATTCGGTATTCATCTTGTTGGATGGGATAACCATGTTGGCCGATGTGCCTATCTTTGATAGTGCTAAGAGTAAAACTGGGCTCCTTACTCCTTATTCTTGGCACCTTTATAAAGGCCCAGGAGGAGTCAGTGCCCAGGCTTTTAACAAGCAGTTAGTTGTTGCTCCATAGCCCCTTTCCCCTTTGCTTCTGCTTTCTCAGCTGCTGATGTTATGTTAGGGAATGTCTGTTCCAGGTGAAAAAAGCCGTGGGGAATTTATGGCCAGGCTTGTTCATTCCCACAACTGCTACGGTTCAGGGTTAGCTCCTTCTCACTCTCCTGGATTATTGCAATCACCTCCTAATCGGTTCCCTTGCCCCTCTCCCCCACCTCTATTCTCCCATCCCCCCATCACACACAGCTGCACTGTTTTCTTTCTAACACAGAGCTCTGATCACATTATTCCAGTAAAATCGAAATAAATTCCTTACTTAGCCTGTGGTTCAATCTACTCCAGTCTGATTGCATATTCCTAACGCTGTCATTTTAGAGATGAGGGAAGTGAGTGTCTTGCACATAGCTAGTAAAGAGCAGAAGGAGGCCTTCTGGTGCCTGAGTCCATGGCTTTTTCTGTCATAACTAAGCTACCTGTATTTTATACTGAGTGTACATATGTTTGTGTTTTTGCTCTGTATACTAGTCATTATGGTACCTGTTACCATGAAGCACTTAATAAACAAAACAACTGAATTAATTAATTCACATTTTGAGCTCTGTGCATTATGGAGCTGTTGTTATCCCCATCTAAAGATGAGAAGACTCCCGGGCCGGCTAAGTCAGCGTTGGCCACTTCCTATTTCTGTAACCTGGGACAAGTCATTTAAGCTCTCTGGGTCTCAGTTTCCTGAACTGTAAAATAGGTTAGACTAGATGACCTTTGCCATCCCTTCTAGTTAAGAAGTCTTTGTTCCTATGAACTTGACTTTTAAGCAAACCAAGGACGCTGTCTGCCCTGACGGCTTGTCCAGAGCTCTCGGAATGGCCCTAACGTGCATAGACGGGCTTGGGAGAGTGCGTGGCAGTCGCTCCAAGGTGTAGCACCCGTTCCGCCTCGTTGGCTCGGGCTGTTCACAGTGCCTGGCGACCCGCCCGAGCGATGCTAGCGTATGAGTGCGTGGGCCGGCCCCCGGGGCCGCGAGCGCTGGAGCCCTGGCCTTGGCGTTGGGCTGGAGCGGGCGCCCGTGGGGGGAGCCGGGCGTGGCATGCGCGCCTGCAGGGCTACGGGGAAGGCACCGGGGGTGCAACCGCTGCCCGAAGCCTCAGCAAATACTTGGGTTCTTGCGTGTTTCTTGTTACTCCGCTTCCAGGGGGACGGACGGAGGCAGGGTGGAGGGACGCTAACCATAACCTGGCAACAGTTTCCATACGCGAAGACTCTCGGCTTGGGGCAGGAGCAGGGGCCGGGGCTGCGGCTGCCCTCCTCCCTTTGGTGGTGCCGCTGCCGCTGCAGTCCAATGCTTCCTCCTGGTACGTGTGTATGGGGAACCGCGCTGCCCCACCATCCGGGCCACCGCAGGCCACTCTGCTTCGTCCCAGGAGAGCCGTCCCTCCCGGACCCGGACGAGTCTGCTTGAAGTCCGGGAGGCGGTAGCCATGGTTTCCCGGTTTTGCTTTGGGGCCAGGGTAGTTGAGGCGGAATCTTGGTGATTCTAATGGGGAAAGGGAGGAAAGAGGGAAGCTAGTTGATTATGAATGCTTAGCGAATATCCCATCTCTTGTTTGGGCTTCTGACCCTCTTAAATCCTGCAGCTGTCTTTTAATGGCTGGGGCATAGAAAAAGTTTGTCTTTCTCTAAGTACCCTGGTGGAAACTGGCTAACTGGCCTGAAGGACCTGCTTTCTAAACTCCTTTGGCTACCAGCATTTCCTTGCCCAGGGCATTAATATTTTACTGGACGTTTGGAGGTCCAAAGGAAGTTAAAGAAAACTACTTAAATCACCTCTTGCTAGGTGTACCTACTTTTCCAAATGTTTTCCATTTGGTTGTAATTTATTTTTCTTATTTTTCTTTACTTGTGCTGCAAAACTTAGTTTGTAGCTTGTTATTTGTGTGCAAAACCCTTATTCTCTTGTTTAAAAAATTAAATGTAGTCATATGGAAATGTGCTTTTTGAATTTAATTCCATTAGGACAAAAATGAATTTTTAGTAACGCTTAAGAGGATTTGGAATATTACTCTAGAAAGCAAAAAATAAGTTGCATTTTAACTTTGTTTTATAAATAGTTCCTTTTTCCCAGCACATACTTTTGATAATAGCTCCTATTTTCTAGCACTTGAAGTTTGCTGAGCTATTCGCAACCCACCCCAACCCTCACCCCCATTCACCCCCCCTCCCCCGACATTGACATTATTTTGCCTTTACCCTTGAGATTGTGTGAGTACAGCGTAGCCACCCATGGCATCAGGAAGCCTTGCCTCTGGCACATACTGGCTGTTTGTTTGACCCTGGGGCAAGATTTCTGTGTGACCCTGTACATTGCAGAGCTGGTGTGGATGAGATGGTTACTACAGGTATTAGGCAGATGAAGGAATTGAGATTCAGACTGGTCTTACCCAGGATAAATTCAGTTCTGCAAACATTAAGTGCTAGGCCTGGGGGATACAAAGATGAGAAATGAAAGAACTCTTGCCCTCAGAGAATTTAGATTCTTCTGGTTCATACATCCAGTAAATCTTGCAGCAGAGACTAAAATCCCAGAAAGCAGAGCTAGCACAGTGCTGCTCCCATCATGTAATTTACCATTGCTACTTAGTGTCTCTTTGACTCCAATACTACCTGAAAACTTTGGGGAAGTTGTTCAGTTTTCTAGTGCTTTGAAACAAGTGGTTGAGAATTGTTTCATTAGATAAAACTTACAATGAGTATGTACCTGTTAACATTGAGGTGCTTCCTTTGAAGTAAGTATGTTTAATTGAAGAAAAGAATGTACTGTTCTGTCTGGAATGGTTAGAGTGTCCTGCAGCTTCCCGGAAGTAGGAGGTTGGACTAATGATGATTTCTGTTCAGGTGACCCCCTGGTGCCTTCTTTTAACTGCTGTAATTTGATCACAGGTGATCAAGTAATTCACACTTGCAGCTCTGTTTCTGGGGTTTGATAGTAGTTTGTTTTTAAACAGGTCAAACCAGGGTTCACAACCCTAAATTCCTATTCCTGCAGCGATGACCCAAGCTTGTGGAAAGAAACTGTTCACAGTGAGGACATGGTCCAAACAGGGGATTGTTTCAATCTTTACAAATCACAGGTGAGCAAAGACTAATGACAAATTTTTACAAGGGTGAAAATTGACTTTAAAATGTTTACATGAACTGTGTAATCTCAGGAGAAATCAATGGACTTTTCTGTGCCTTAATTGTTCCTCAATACAAAGTCAGACAATATCATCTCTAAGGTTCCTTCTGGCTTCAATTCTGTGATTCTTTTATAACTTTAATTTTCTGATAATCTGTTGTGAAATCATACATCTTTTCACCCTCTCATTTTTTTCCTTTTTTTTGCTGAGGCAGTTGGGGTTAAGTGACTTGCCTAGAGTCACACAGCTAGTGAGTGGTATGTGTCTGCGGCCGCATTTGAATTCAGGTCCTCCGGACTCCAGCGAGGGTGCTCTATCCACTTCACCACCTAGCTGCCCCATCACCCTCTTATTTTTAAATTAGGAGTTACCTACACCAGGATTGGGGAACCTGCAGCCTCGAGGCCACATGTGGCCCTCTAGGTCCTCAAATATGGCCCATTGAATCCAAACTTCACACAACAAATACCTGATACCCTTAGGTTCATTTTCTTTTCCCTTGCCTTTTTGCAGTGCTTCATTTTATATTCCAGGAGGTGTTATCCAATTAGGGTCACAGGATAGGAAGTTCTCACCTCTTACTTTCAAAATTTTATAGCTTTTTTGTTAAAGACCCAGATAATTTTTCTATGTGAACATTAGCACATAACCTTCGATTTTTTCAATTCTCCCTACAATATGTATAGACCTATATTAGATATTTCATCCTTGAGTATCTTTTTGCCCATCTTTTAAGGATTCTAAGGTAGTAGTTGAAATGGGAGTGTTATAGTAGTAAGAGCCCTCCCTGTCTTAGTGACCTGAGTGCTATTCCTAGCTTTGGCAATACTTAGCCATGTGACTTTTGAAACCTTACTTCTTTCATTTGTAATTAGAGGGAATTGAACTTGAATAATCTCTGAGATCTTTTTTGAGCTTTCAGGTTCTATATTTGTGTGTCATTTGGATTTCCATTTAGTAGTTTGTGTTTTTATGTCACAACTTTTATAGTTTTCTCTTAGTCACAAGTTTTCCCTGATACTGCCCTTTAACCTGTCTCTTCTTTTTCCATTATAAAAGAGAATGTTAGTATGAAAATAAATAAATACAAATAACATTTATTATGCGTAAGATTTGTCAGGTGCTTGCCTAACAACAACCCTATAACACAGTAGTAGAAGCATTTGCAGATGAAAAAGTTTAGGCATGTAAAGTTTAAATAAATATTTGCCCATGGTCATAAAATTTCAGAATTGGGATTCAGGCTCAGGTCTTTCGAGTTAGTAACCAGTGCTCTTTTCATGTTACTGAGCTGCCTCCTGAACATAAGGGACCTATGTTTAGTTGGATGGAGGAGATTGGGGTCAGCAGGTGGGACAGTAAAGGTCTGGCTTTTAGTCTTTTGAGTCTGAGTGAAGTCGATTTTAGTAGTTACCTTCCTGGCTGCTGACTCACTCTGACTTCTGGTTCAGGTGAGTCAGTAAATCTGTGGAGGGTTTATTTTAAAGTTGTGTCTTCAGAGTGCTTAGCTTATTTTCTTGGCTGGAATAAAGATTTTCGGGATGGAAACTTAAGAGTTTTCTTTACTCAACTATACAATCCCAGCACATTCCTTAAAAGCAATGAGCGTGTTGGTATTTTGCTGCTAAATAATAACCTCTGGCCATTAATTCTCTGGACTTGCTCCAGTTTTCCAGGGCATTGCAAAGAATAGTTGAGAAGATCCCTTAGCAAGTACCTTTAACACTTTAGTATTCATAGTAAGGTTTTTATATTTAAACTTTACATAGTAATGTTTTATACTTAAACTATGATTTCTGCATTGATTTTACTTAGCTAATTGAGTTTTGGATTAATTGCTCAAACTTAAGTGTGTATGGATATCTGCATGTTACACATATACCCTTATCTGGGAAATAAAAATCTATCAGCCTAAAATTAAACCTGGCTAAACTTGGAAAGTTTGAAGTTTATTATTTTCATTGACTTTTCCTTCTGTTTATAAAAAGGGAACTGGCAGGCTTTTGGAAAAGATTTTCTATATAAAAGCACATCTTTACAGACACGTCATTGACTGAATTGTATAGGGAATAGAAGAGCCATTTGTGTATGTTCTTTGTTGATTACCAAAAAAAAAAACCAAAGAATATTTGGCTTGATAGAGCAAAACTCAGCCTTAAGGACTATTCCCTAACTGGGAATATTTTGTATGTCTGTCGGGATCACATAAGATTCCTTGATAAAAGCGACCACAGAGATACGTTTGTCATTAGTTCTCCAATTATTAAGTTCAAGTGAGACATAAAATGGGGATGGATACTCTCCACAGGTGTGTGCTCTTCTCTTGGAGGATGGCTGTCCAGTACGAGGAAGGGCTGCTTATTGTTGGTGAGACCTCCCAGGTGATCCTGGGTGTTCTTCTGTGCACATGACATTGTGCTGTTCTCATCAAGGCCCACAACATTACAGAACCTTTTCAGTGAAGTTTATGATTATTTAAAAGCATTCAGCCTAACAATCCATATAAGATAGATTCAATGGATGGAAAATGACAGCTGTGAGGGGAAGGAATGTGTGATTACAAGAGTCTTGTCTAGGCTGTGATAAGTAGTTGTCCAGTCCGTTGAATTACTACATCAATACATTGCAGCTGCACAAATGAGTTAGACTGACAATTAGAGGGGAGAGAATGGGCTGGGTTTTATTTGGAGAACTGTACACGGTACTTTTAACTAGCCTGTTTTCCTGTACTCTGATATGTTGTCCTATCTTTTAATATATATGTTCTCTTGATAATGCTGTAGAGATGTTTTAGAGATGAAGAAACTTGAGGCCTAATAAGGTTAAATGACTTGGTGCAGATCATATCACACTAGTAGGAGGAGAGAGAGCCGGGATTTGAAACCATCTTCTGGCACCAAGTCCTACATTCTTTCCAATGTATCGAGTTCTAAGGAAGACCCAAAGGTCAATAGAGAAATGCATGGTGGTTGCACATGGGCCACCCCATATTGCTGGTTATGATTGAAGTGCAGGAAGTGTGGGAAGAATATCATAAAAGAAATGGAGGGAAGAGGTGGGTAGGTCACATGGTGTGAGAGAGGCAAATGAATCAGATGGGCAGTCTGAGGACCCAATTGGTTCCTATGACCTTGGGGAAGATCTCAGTCACTCTAGTGATTTAATTCTCTGAGAAAGGTCTGTATATTAACATTGGACAAGAATAGTATGAATGAGAAAGTATGGATAGATGAGCTACGTGTACACAAATGTGGGCACGCTTATATCAGTGAGAACACAGAGCCCATGAAATATTGGGGAAGTTCCTTCCATTTTTATTTATGCTAATGCCATATTAGTATAGTGCTTTACCATTTTCCAAACATTCATTTACTAGGAGAGGCAGTGTGGTGCAGTGGAAAGCTCCTCACTGGAATTAGGGTTGAAAGACCCAAATCCTGTTTACTTCTTCTGGGACCTTGAACAGGTCACTAAACTTAAGCCTGCTTGCACTGCTGTAAACTTGGAGTAGATGGTCTCTGAGGTCATTTCTAACTCTGTAAATCCTCCTGTAAATTTAACATACATCCATATGACAGTCCTGGGTAGGAGGCGGAGTATAGGCATTCTCCTCATTTTACAGAAATGGAAACTGCAGCTCAGAGAGGCTAATGAGTAAGTGGTGAGGCTGGGACGAGAACCCCAGGGGTTCTCATGTGGCCTTTCAATAGTTATATAAAAACATAGTCTTTTTGAATGTTTTTTCATGTTTCTTGAATAAATTTTTTTCCTTTTTATAAATAACCAATTAAACTTAACTTTACAGCTATTTGCTCTTTAAAAAGCCACCTTAAAAAGTTATTTCTAATGGATTATTCTCTTTCCTGATTTGATTTGTTGTATTATTAATGTAGTGTTTTTTTAATTGGAGCAGGACTTTTGTCTTACAGAATGCATGTATAATATTGTTGCATGTTTTGGACTTGGGAACTCAAAAGGGCCACTGAGTGAATGGAGAGAGAAGATGGGGTAGTAAGAAGAAACAGGTCCAGTATGGTTGCCTACTAGATGGTGTTTGTGGACTTCTCCCAAGTCAGTCTGTAGGTTCCAGTTATGCCATGAGATGTAGCACTGCAGTTAAACATCTGGCAGCCCAACCCCAAAGAGAGGTGGCAAGGGTCTGAGCCTTTTATGTCCGGCCTTGCTGACTGATTCCCCAGACAGTGAACGTGTCAGAGTTAGGAATTTCTAAAGAGCTTCCAGAGTCAAACAGAGCCTTCTAATTCAGGGGCTCCTCTCATCCTCTGGTTGGTTCCCCAGTTTTACACACCCTTTTTTATGCATCTGCATTGTTGGTGACTGATAAAGAGTACGGAGTGCCAGAAGGGACTCATGGCTGTAACTCTGTTGGCCTCTGCAAGGAGTACTGTTCCTTTAGCATATCTTAGACACACACTCCAGCACCAGATTACTTTACCTAAAATACCCCTTTCATTTTGTCATTCTCCTACTCAGATCTTGGGTGGTTCTCTGTTGCCTACAGAATAAAGTTCAGATATTTTAAACCGATATTCAGGACTTCTACAATCTGACCCTAACCCTCCCTTCCTTCCTTTGTAATTTTTATTTTCAGTTCCAAATTCTTTCCCTCTCCACCCCATCCCCCACCCATTGAAAAGACCAGAAAGATGATACCTATTATATATATGAAGTCATGCAAAACATTTCCATATTAACCATGTTGTGTTAGGGGAGGGAGGGTGGGGAGCAAGAAAAATAAAGGAAAAAAGTATGCTTCAGTTTGCACTTAGAGTCACTTAGTTCTCTCTCTGTAGGTGGATAGCATTTTTCATCATGAATCCTTTGGAACTGTCATGGATCATCACATGTGTCGTATCCATCAGAGTAGCCAAGGCTTTCACAGTTGGTTACCATCCTAACCCACTTTCCAACCATATCTCCTACTTCTCACT